TGACAAAGAAGTAGTAATTGGTTTTAGTAATGAAGCTCAATTTTTTTTATTTCATTAATTTATATTTTTATTCTTATTCTCTTTCCTTTTCTTTCTTTGGGTTTATTTTTCCTGTTCATTTTCTAGCTCAAGTCAAATGCTTAGTTTGTTTATTTTCACAATATCTGTTTTCTACAAGCACTTGAAAGCTGTAAATCTTTCCATTTGTACCACTCTGGCAGCACTCATAGATCTTGAAATGTAGTGTGCTCATTTGTTCATTTCTAAGTAGTTCATAATTTCAATTTTAATTTCTCTTTAATCCAAGTTAATTAGAAGTGTGCTTTCTCATTTTCAAGAGGATAGAGTTTTTTTGTCTGTTTGTTATTTTTACTATTTTTTGTTGTTAAATAATTTTATGCATGTGGTCAGTGAATGCATATATATATGCATTATATTATATGCATTATATATATATAAAGCTTCTTAACAATATTAATCAAATCTTCCGTATCATTTTTTTTCTACTTGAAATGTTAATTTGGTTTTCTTTGTTCTATCTGTTTTCATTAATTTTAAATTCCTGGGTCATTTTGTTTTAGGTGCTTTAGGTAGACAGCACAGGTTTTGGGGTCTTTCTTTTCCAATCTGAGGGGCTCTGTCTTTTCACAGCGTTAATAAATCCATTCACATTGTGATTATTGACATATTGGACTAATTCTTGCATCTTATTTTGTGTATTCTGTTTACCATACTTTGTTATTGTTTCTCCTTTCCCCTTCTGTTGAATTGATGACGTTTTTCTATTTAATTTTTTTTTTCTTTTAATGGTTACGAACTTATTTACCCTATTTCAGTGTTTCCAGTGGTTACTCTAGTTTCTAAGCACATACTTGAACTTGGCTTATAAAATCAATGTCTTCAATTAATGACTATAATCAGCGTCTCTCTGAACAAGTCAAGAACCTTTTCAGGCTCTCACATTTCTCCTTTGCCCCTGCTACCTCCCAAGTATAGCTCATTAGGGACTTTAATTCCAGCTTGTTCTCTCTCTCTCTCTTTCTCCACTCTCCTCAATCAATAATGATTTTAAATTTCACCCCAAGTTTTGCTGTGTTTTGTCACCAGATTTCATGTCCCTCGTGCCTTTCTCTTTGATTCGTTTTTCATTTTCCCAAAATACATCTAGTTATTCTTCCAGAGAGGGTGCTCAAGTGGTATATTTTCTGAACCCTTACATTTCTGAAAGTGTTTTTATTTTGCTCTCACACTTGAATAATGGGTTCACCTGGGTATAGAATTCTAAGTTCAAAATAATTTTCCCTCAGAACATTGAAAGCCTTGCTCCATTGTCTCCTTGAATCCACTGTTGCTGAAGAGAAGTTTTCCCTCCCAATGGCCACACACCCCACTGCTCTCCTCCTCAGGGGCCTGAAAGCAGAATAAAAGGGAAGTCTGACTGGACGTTCCTAGGGCTGCTTCCCCAATCCATGCTACTCCTCAATCACTCATTCATTTAGCAAATATTTTTTGTGCATGTAATGTTCCAGGCTCTGTGCTCGGATTTTTTTTAAATAAACTATTTCATGCACACAGAAAAGTACAGAAAATAATAGAGCAAACAAGAGTGTACCCACCACCCATATTGACAATCTTATCATTTTGCCTTATTTGCTTCAGGTTTTTAAAATATAAATAAAACACTAAAGAATCTGTTGAAATCCCATTCCCTTTCCTCCCACACCAGAGATAACTACTACCCAAAATTTGGTGTTTATCATACCCATTAATGGATTATACGTTTAATATATGGATATATTATGGATATACATGGATGGATCATGTATGGATAAACAATATGTAATAACTAATATAGTGCTTACTACATGCCTATGTGTGGTCTAATCATATTACATATATTAACTAGTTGAGTTCTCACTACAACAAAAGGAAGTAGGCAATATTACTATCCTCTTTTTATAAATGAGGAGAAGTAACTTAATCAAGGTCACATAGCTGGTGACCAGCTAAGTGATGGCACCAGAACCTGGCAGCCTGACTGCAGAGTCTGTGCTATTAACTATAACATGCTAATTTAGTAATAATTCTCATGTATTTAAATTTCGTGTAAATGGTATCATATTAGACACATTCTCCTAAAATATTGGGGGGTTTTCTCCTCTATTTACAGAATAGAAAACATTGTCCATAATCTAGCTAGTTTTGGTTTATCATTTATTTTTACTACTGTACACTATGCTTTGCATTTTTATAAATATTTAGATTGCTTCAAAAATATGCAGCAAATGTTGCACTGATCATATTTGTTACTGTCTCCTAGGGCCAAGGACAACAGTTTCTCTAAGGTATCTACTAAGGCATGAAATTTCTAAGTCACAGGGTGTGCACATCGTCATCTTTACAAGTTATTGCCAAATTGCTGCACCAACTTATACCCCCTCCATGTGAAAGAAGAGATCCCGAAGCCTCGTGCTGGGATTCGAATCTGGCTTGTTGGATTCCACACATATTGCTGAACTATTGGGCCATTATACTGTAGAATGTTCTATCACCCCCTTTTTCCCTGTCTTAATATGGACTCCTCAGCTGGGCCTTTGCTCTCACTCAGTCTCATTATGTAAAAATATTTACTGATTATTTATTATGTACTAACTCTTCCTGTTGATGGTTATTTTTCAAAGCCCACAACACTACAGGCACTGAAAAGTATCTGAAATTAGTCAAATAAAGCCTCACCTGTTTTTCACCTGTTTTCGTGTATACTTAACTTAGACTTGTAAACGAACATGAGACTGAATGTAACATGAAAGAAGTTCAGCTGGATCTAAAAAACCTGACAGCTAAGGGGTTTTATCAAAAATTGAAATTGAATCAAAAACTTTAGATTTAAATTATTCAATGGTATAAAATAGAATATATTCAATTTTTATAGTTTAATATAAACTACTAGTTTTAAAAATACTTAGATAATGTCTTATTATCATTATGCTAAAAAATTATTAAACAAATGATTATATATGGCATCTCGAGAAACTACCAAGAGTTAGAATTCCTGTCCTCCAGGAACATGCGTATAAAAATATATAGCTGCTTTTTTTAAAAATCCTTTTATCCTGTTGCTCAGCCAGGGATGCAGGCCAAACTTTAAACTGCAAAAGCTTTAGAATCATAGATCCAACTGCCTATTCAGCATCTACACTTAGATGTCTAAAAGACACCTCAAAGTCTCCAAAATCAAACTCCCACTTTCCACCTCCCATATCCTTCTTCTTCTCAAGTCTTCCTCATCTCAAAATAAAAAGTATATCCTTCCAGTTGCTGGGCTGATATTCCTGAAGTCATTCGTGGGTCCTCACCTTCTCTTCCACCCTCTGTCCAACACATCAGCAAGCAGCCATCCTTCACTCTCACTGCAAAAGACACCAGACTCTGACCACATCTTACCACCTTCACTCCTACCACGCTGGTCTAATGCACCATCATCTTTTGTTGAATTTCTGTGGTGGCTAACTAACTGGTCTCCTGCTTCCACTCTTGCCTGTTCCCTAGTCTGTTTGCTACACAGCAACCAGGGTGAACCTCTAAAAAGAAATTCAGATCATGTCACTGCTTAAAGTCCTCCCTTACACTTCCCATCTCACTCTACATTGGTTTATAAGGCCCTACATGACCTGCCTCCTACTCGCCCAGAACCCTGAACTCATTCATCTCTTACCATCTCTTTCCCTTCACTTACTCTGCTTCAGCCTAGTGTGGCAGAATAGTGGCTCTCCAAAGATGTCCACATCCTAATACCCAGAACCCATGAAGATGCTACATTATTACAGTAGTTTGGCCAAAAGATGGTGGTGGTTTGGATTGGGGTATGGGGAAAATGAGAAAATATAGGAAAATGAGAAGATATATTGTGAAGGTAGAATTAACCAAACATGAAGATGAACTAAATGTGGGGGCTGATGGAGAGGGAGGTGTCAAGAATGACCCCCAGTTTCCCGGCTTGAGGAACAGGATGGATGAAAGGGCTATTTACTGAGACAGGGAAGAATGCAGGAAAAGTAGATTTGGGGGTAATGACCAAGAATTCAGCTTTTGAATATATTAAGTTTGCGATATCCACGAGACATCTCAGGAGAAATGGAGAGTTATCAAGTAGTCAGAGGCATATAAGACTACCCGACATTGCTGGAAAATAGATCTGGTGTAAAGATTGTAATTTCATAAGTTGTTGGTATACAGGTGTACCTGTCATGGAAAATGTTAAAAATTACCTAGAGAGAGTAGGTAGAATTGAGAGAAGAGGGCATTGTATAGAATTCTATAGAACTTTAACATTTTAAAGGTTAGGGAAAGGAGAAGAAATGAGCAAAAATGAGCAGTTAAGACTGAGAAGGAACAGTTAGAAAGACAGAGGAAAGTACCAAAGAATGTAATATCATGGAAGCCAAAAAAGAGAATGTTTCAAGAATTCCTCAACTGCTCTGAGAGTTCTAGTAATTTGAGGATTAGATTTAGCAACACGGAGGTCAATGTTGATTTTTTTTTTCTTTTTGAGAAAAGAGATTTTTTTATTGTGGTAAAATATACATCACAGAAAAGTCACCATTTTAACCATGTTTAGGTGTACAGTTCACTGGCATTAAGTACACTCACATTGTTGTGCATCAATGTTGATCCTTTTTTGGGGGGGGGAGGGAAGATCAGCCCTGAGCTAACATCCATGCTAATCCTCCTCTCTTTGCTGAGGAAGACCGGCTCTGAGCTAACATCTATTGCCAATCCTCCTCCTTTTTTTTTTCCCCTCCCCAAAGCCCCAGTAGATAGTTGTATGTCATAGGTGCATATCCTTCTAGTTGCTGTATGTGGGACGCGGCCTCAGCATGGCTGGAGAAGCGGTGGGTGCATCGGTGCGCGCCCGGGATCCGAACTCGGGCCGCCAGTAGCGGAGCACGTGCACTTAACTGCTAAGCCACGGGGCCCGCCCCAATGTTGATCTTAAGAAGAATTTCTGTAGCAAAGTGACGACTAAATATTGGAGCAATTTTAATAATACATGGGGGTAAGGAAGAGACAGAGGATAGAGAATATAGTCAGCTCTTGAGAAGTTTGGCTTTGAAGGGGAATGTGGCTACCTGGCAGTAGCTAGAGCAGAACGGGGAGCTAAGAGAGAGGGATTTTTTTAAATTGTAGATATTAGTCCATTATTGAATGTTGATTCAGAATATTCTGTAGAGAAGGAGAGACAGAAGGTGCTGGAGAGAGAGGAGATGTGTTACAGATTGTGGATCCTGAGAAAGCAAGAAGTAATGGGGCTAGAGCTCATGAGAATGGACTGGCCTTTGCCAAAAGCGGGGAAGGAGACTGGCAGAGATGCAAACAGGTTTGCAGTATTTCTGGGAGTGTTGAATGTCTATTTGAGATTGGTAATCATGAATGAATAGTGATACTAATCTGTCAGTTTATATATTCCTATTCATTTATTCTCTCTATGTATTTATAGAATGCCTACTATGTACCTCCTTTGAACTACTTGTGACCAAAGGGATGGACAGGTGAGCCTCTTAAGGCCTTCAGGAACATTTCCTTGATGTTACTCCTGGAAGCTTCTGCATGGGGTTGGGAGAGATGTTATTCCTGTAACCTTTACTTCAAGGCCACAGTATACACTATGTTGAAAAATTACACTTATTCTATTTTCTATTTCAAATGATCCCCCATTATACTTCCAGACCCAATTCCTGAGAGGTTACACAATGTAACCTGTCAGAATAGTTCAAATGATAGAATACCAGCTGTATAGAGAACCCAAAGTTTTGTCATCAACTTGAACAACTGACACCCTGCCCATTATCCAGTGAATCCTTTGATCCCAAGAAACAACAATAAATAAGAAAATTCCTCTCCCTTTCCAGAGAAACTACCTATGTACAAGGCATCTCCTCTCTGCAACTTCCTCCAATTCTGCTTCTTCTCAGCCAGTGAAATCTCACAGGTCCTTCTCAACAGTTAGAGACTGGGTGTCTCCCACTAGAACTGGAAGAGCTCCTTCAGCAACCTCCAAACCAGTATTAGTGTTCCAAACCCAAGCCCCTCATTTGCAGCGCCTTTCCAAAGTTCAAGAGGATCATCTAGAAAATCTGCAATATCAGCACCACATCCACAAATTTAGAAACACATAAGCAGGTAACTACACTGTAATATAAACTCCACGAAGGCAGGAAGTTTTGACTTTTTTGTTCACTAATGCAACCGCTGGTGCCTAGAAGAATGCTTGGTATTTAGAAGGCCATCAAGGTGAACCGGTTGAATGAATGAAATATCAAGAACCATATGCCAACACTATGGCAGAATACACACTAGCAAAATAATGTTTCCAGATCCTAATAACACTGCCTATGTTTCTGGTACCACTTACCACTCACCTCCTTTTCTTTCAGAAAGAGCTTCCCTTAGGACACTACCTACACAAAAGCAAATATTACCTTTTCTGCACTGTTGGTAGGGAGGATCCTGTCATCCAGGGAAAGCACCCTTCTGAAAATTTAGTACTTAAGAAATCACAGTGGAATTATGCTATTTAGAACTGAATGACAATGAAAGCACTATTTTGAAAACTTGTGGGATACAGATAAAGCAAAGGAAATTTCTCTTCAAGGGGAATTTATAGCCCTAAATTATATTTTAGAAAATAAGAAAGATTGGAAATTACTGTGTTAAGTATTTAACTTGAAAAGCTTTTTTTTTAAAGGAATAACATTTTAAACTCAACAAAAGTGTAAGTGAGACATTAATAAAAATAAATACAGAAATTAAACAAATTATATATTTAAAAAGAAACAGATATGATCAACAAAAGCTGTCTATTTGAAAAGACTATAGACAAACCTCTACAGGTTTGTTTAAAAATATAGACCAACCTCTGTTAAGACAAAAAAGAAAAAACAGAAAATTCACGACTATATAATATCAGGAATGAAAAGTAGGCTATAACTACAAATACTGTAGAAAATTTTCAAATAATAAAGAATGCTATGTATGAACTATATACCAAAATTTTGAAGGCTTAAATGTAACATCTAATTTTTAAAGAAAAATGTGTATTACTAAAATTGACTCAAGAAGAAATAGAAAACCCGAATAAACTAATAACCATGAGAGAAACTGAATTGAATTTTCCAAATATGATGGTTTCACAGATGAGATTTACCAAACATTCAAGGAACAAATAATACCTATCTCATAGAAACTGTTACAGAAAACAGAAAAAAGGACATTTTCAAAAGCATTTTATGAGGGTAGTATAACCCTGATACCAAATATGGATAAAGGCAGTGCAAGGAAAGAAAATTGTAAGCCAATATCACTTATGAACATAGACACTAATATAAAAAAGGATTTGCAAATTGCATGAAGCAGTGTATTAAAAAATAATAGTAAATTATGGCAAAACAAGGTTTATCTCAAAGATTGCAAGGATAAGTCCACATTAGAAAAATCTGTCAAAGTGACCCATTACATTAACATATCAAAGACAAAACCTACAATCATCTCAATAAAAAGCACTTAATAAAATTCAATATTCATTTCATGGTTTTAAAATATTCCTACTTTAAACTCAACTGGCATAGAAGGGAACTCCTTAACCTGATAAGAGTTTCTACCAAAAACTTACAACAAATATCACAAATAATGATGACACATTAGAAATAGTCCCAATAATATAGAAATAGGAAAACAATGCTTGCTGTCAACTGACTATCTGATGTTATATTGGAGGTCCCAGCCCATTCAATGACATAAGAAAGGGGAAGCATTTCAAGGGTGTTATTTACAGATCATATGATTATCTACATGAAAATACAAGACAATCTGCAAATAAACTATTTAACTAATAAGAAAGTTCAGCATGCTTGCTAAAACAAGATTACTCCAAAATCAATAACATTTCCAAACAGCAGCAATAACCAATTAAAAAATTTAAAAAGGATCCCACTTACAAGAACAACAAAAGCTGTAAGGTACCTAGGAATAAATCTAACAAAGAGATACAGGAGTTTTATAAACAAATTATAAAATGTTATTGAAGGATATGAAGAAATCAGAATAATATTAATGTATTGGATGACTCAATTTTATAAAGATGTCATATCTCCCCAAATTTAAATTTAACTCAACAAAATATCAACAAGGTTTTTCAATGGAAATTGACAAACTGATGCTAAAGTTAGTATGGAAGAGTAAAAGTCCAAAACAACCAGCACAATTTTAAAAGCGAACAAAAGGGGCAAATGCTCTTGTAGAAATGAAGACCTTTTAAAGCCATAATAATTAAAACAGTGTGGTACTGGCTCAGAATTGGTTTGATCAGGGGACAAGGACAAAGTAGGAACATATTCATGAATATATGGAAATGTAATTTACAGTCATTGTGGCATTACCCATTAATGGGGGAATGAAAGATTGTCCAGTAAATCAGGTCAACAGGTGTTCCATATGGGGGAGTGGGGAGTAAATTAAATTCCTACTTTACACCATTCAAAAAAATAAGTCCCAGATGGATCACTTTTACAAGTGTGGAAAGCAAAACTTTAAAACATTAGGCAAAAAAATCCATAGGATTCTATCTTCATGGCAACAGGTGTGGAAAGATTCCTTTGATAGGACACGAATGACACAAACTATAAAGAGATCAATGAATCTGGCTACATTTAAAATTTTCTATAGTACAAAAGACATCAAAAGCAGTCAAAAAAGGAGCCACAGACTGAGGCAATATAATGTTTATACACAGGAACTCCTACAAATCAAGAGGAAAAAAGATGAAAACACACAGCCCATTGGAAAAATGGATGAGAACAGTGAGAAACAAATCACAGGCTCGCAAACCTTAATAGCCAATAAATATATGAAGAAATGCTCAACCTCACTAGCAGTGAGAGAAATTCAAATAAAACAACGAGATACCGGGTTTCTAAAAAACTAAATTGTCAGAAATGAGAAAAGTCTGAATCTAGAAAGTGTTGAAGGTCATGTGAGGGAAATAAGAACTCTCATGCACTGCTGATGGGTGTGTAAACTGGAGAACCATTTGGCAGTCTCTAATAAAACTGAAAATGTGTGTGTAGCCTAGCAATTCCCCATCTAGGTAGATACACAGAGAAATACGTGTATCTTTCTCACATATGTGCAAGGGACACATGTGCACGTATGTTCACATTAGCATTGTCAGTAATACCAAAATATTGGCAGCAGCTTAAATATTCATCAATAGAGGAATGAATAAACACAGCACATTCATATGCATGGATCTACAACGCAGCAATTAAAATGCAATGAACTGGATTTATATTGATCAATATGGAGAGAAAATAAAAACACACCATGTAGGGAAAAAACAAATCACAGAATAAGTACAGTCTAACACCACACATGGATATTTAAAAAATCAAAGCAGTATTCTGTAGTTTTATGGGTTCATATGTAGTGACAGTATAAAACCTAGATTGGAAAGTTACATGCCAAATTCATGATAGTGTTTGCCTTTGGAGAAAAGAGTGGAGAATGGTTTGGGGGAGGAGTACAAAGGGACTTCAATTTTATCAGAAATAGTTCAATTAAAAAAAAAATAGACCTGAAGCTGAAATAGCAAAATGTTAACATTTACCAATTATATGAGACAGGTACATGGGTGCTTGTGACATTCTCTCTGCATTTAAAAATATCTTTACATTTTTTCTAAATAATAAAACAAAAAGAAAAACAGCTAGTAAAGAATTCTCTCTCTGATAAAATTCTAATATGTGTAGACTGAGAGTTAGTTGTCTAAAATTTTGAAGCAAGGAACTATAAACTATAAAATAATTATCTGTTTTAGAATGAAATCTCCATAAAAATAACAAAGCTGAAAATATCATAAAACTACTGAAATGAATAAAGTAGATTCTATAGATATCAACACGGATAGTTCTCAAAATCATATGGAGGGGAAAAAGCAAGTTGCAAAATGATATATACACTACTGTACCATTTATAAAGAAAATTTAAAATACATAAGCATGGATATATATATTTACATATAAATATATATGGGTAATTAGGTAATAAAGGTATAATAACAAATGCTGGAAGAATACACACCTTATAATGCTGATTACCTAGGGAGGTGGGGGGAAGGTGAATGGGACTGGGGAGAGAAATAAAGTGCCATTCAACTCTATCTGTAATCTTTAATAAAAATTTAAAACCTGAAGCAAAAATGACAGATACTTCACATTCGATTATTCTAGGAAATAAACACATGAAGATATGTTATTCTTGATGTATATGTATTTTTAATTTTCAAAAGAAAAATAAAAGTACTGAAGAATTACAAATAAAATGCATATAACTCAATAATATATAAGTAAAGCTTGTGTACATCAAAAACCGTGCTGTGACTATTTTTAGAAATTATCCTGCTTGCTTTTATATGTTTTTAATTTTTTAAAAATCAAAGGAGGAAAAAAATGAAAGCAACGAAGAAATGTAAAGAAACATATAATCTGATTATAGAAAAAGAAAAACCTCCACAATCACAAAACACCATATGAGCAATTCTATATCATTTGCTGCATTTTCTTATTTTTCATTTTTGTCAAAAGAAAAATAAAAGACGTTGTCTAATTGGAAACGTGCCTTTCTATTATTAAAATTGTGGGAGTCCATTTTAACGTGTTTATCTCGCTGCTAGTCTATAATTTATATTTCAGCGTGGAAATTTGTTTGTATGCCTGTGACAGGTTAATGCAGTTTAAACGTGCATTTTTCTTTCCTTGGTTGAATAGTTAAACCGTTACTCGAAGGATTTTAAGTTTCAATTTCAACCATGAGAGGATTCTTTGCTTTTTCAAGGTTAAAAATGTTTCTGGTTCAAAACGCTATTAATTAATGGCTACGTAGTGGATCTATTTAGGGAATTGGTACCGACGCTGGATTAACGGTGGAACTGTTAAATGAGAAAACTTTTTTTTTTTGATGCAGACTCGGGGATATTTTAAATTCGGTCGGAGAGCGGCGGACAGAAGTGAAATGTAATTCCAGCCCGCTTAACTAACAATCGTAATTATGAATCGAAAGACATGTCAGGTATTAGCATTTTTTTTCCTTAAAAAAAAAAAAGTTTCTCGCACTCCGCCGGACACCCAGCTGGCGGAGGACCAGCGGGCGAGGGGGGAGCGAAGCCGGCAGGCTGCCCAGAAGTTACGATCGGGGAGTTTTCTCCTTATTAAAATTACCTGGCTCACCAGCAGAGGCAAGAACGCGGAGACAAGATAATTTCTTAGGCTGTTAAAAATGCCTTAGCCCGGTGGGCCGCGCGTTCCGAGGGGTGTCCTGCGGCCCGGGGCGGGTCCCGCCGCCCCCGCGGGCTCCGGTGCGTCAGGGGCGCGTCAGGCTGGGCGGG